CTTGATTGCAGCAAGCAAACTAAAGAAAGTGGGGACTTTTCCACAAAAGATTAAAAAAACAAAATAGAGCCCTAGCCAGTTTGGCTCAGTGGACAGAGCGTTGGCCTAGGGACTGGAGTCCTGGGTTCAATTCCAGGCAAGGGCACATGCCTGGGTTGCGGACTCGATTGCCAGTAGGGGGCGTGCAGGAGGCAGTCCATCTATGATTTCTCCCTCATCACTGATGTTTCTCTCTCCCCTTTTCCCTTCCTCTCTCAAGTTAATAAAAATATATTTTTTAAATAGAAAATGTCCCCATGTAAATAGAAAAGACCAAACCAAACACAACAAGCAGGAAAAGCAGGAAAGGGAAGACGTGCTTCAGGCACAAACCCCCGAGACGTGAAGCCAAGAGCAGGCAGAAACCCTGGCCAGCCTCTGCTGGGAGATGGGTGAGGCCCCGGGAAGAGGTGAGTGGCAGTGGGGAGGAAGTGGGGGGCTAAAACCAGCCCCACGGAGAGAGAGGACGGGGTGGGTGATCAGGGGAGAGCCAGGGAGAGGACGGAGGCAGACACGGAGACATGGGAGTGTGGCCTGTCAGTGGCCCAGGTGCAGCCGGCCGACACCAAGCTCTCAGCAGCTCCTTGAAGGAAGACACTGACACGCTGACAAGAAATCATTGATCGGGCCGGGACCGGTTTGGCTCAATGGACAGAGCGTCGGCTTGGGGACTGAAAGGTCCCGGGTTCGATTCTGGTCAAGGGCATGTACCTTGGTTGTGGGCATATCCCCAGTAAGGGGTGTGCAAGAGGCAGCTGATTGATGACTCTCATCGATGTTTCTAACTCTCTATCTCTCTCCCTTCCTCTCTGTACAAAATCAATAAAATATATTTAAAAAAAGAAAAAAGAAAAAAGAAAGAAATCATTGATCGGCTGCCTCCTGCACTCCCCTACCAGGGATCGGGGATCGAGTGCACAACCCGGGCATGTGCCCTGGCCGGTTGGCTCAGTGGATAGAGCGTCGGCCTGTGTACTGAAAGGTTCCGGGTTCGATTCCAGGTCAGGGCACATGCCCGGGTTTCAGGCTCCATCCCCAGTAGAGGAAGTGCAGGAGGCAGCCGATCAATGATTTCTCCCATCATTAGTGTTTCTCTCCCTCCCTCTCTAGAATCAATAAAAATATATATATTTTTTTAAAAAGAGTGTGAGGGGCAGAGCTGGAGAGTGCGGCCAGGAGACAGGGCGACTGGCCTGGCAAACAGGGACTCAGGTCAGCAGGGGGATAAAGGATGAGGACAGGGCTGTCACCCCCCGGGAGGGAGGGATGGAGAAGGCAGGGTGCACAGAGGAGAGCGGGCACAAGATGAGCAGGAGCAAGAGTCTCCCACAACACCACCCAGCCGAGCAACAGGGCGGGTGCCACTGCTCCCGCGGGAAGGGTGGGGAGCAGCCAGCACCCGGCCGCGCCGGGCGGTCCCTGTCCTCCTTCCCACCCAAGGGCACGGCGCTTCCCCCGAGCGCCCCCTGCCCACGCCAGTGAGGGAGCGCGGAGACCCACGCCAGGATGACCTCGCTCCCCGCCCGTGGGAAGGACATGCCCGGTAAGCGCACAGCCGTCTCCACCAGAAACAAGAAAAGGGACTTCGGGCTAGACAGGTAACTGTGTTTTAGGGGGAAAGGTGAGTCGAAAGGAATTTCTAGGAAAAGGGATTCAAAAGGACAGGCAGAGCAGCCCTGGCCGACGTGGCCCAGTGGTTAGAGTGTGTCCACTCATGCAAGGAAGGGTCTCAGGTTCCATTCCCAGTCAAGGGCGCATACTGGGCTGTAGGTTCGACCCCCGACCCCCGTTGGGGTGCCTGTGGGAGACAACCATTCGGTGTGTCTCTCACATAGATGTTTCTCTCTCTCTCTCTTTCCCTCCTCCTCCTTTCTACTCTCTAAAAATCAACTGAAAAATACCTTCAGGTGAGGATTTTTTCTAAAGTAAAAAAAGACATGGGAAAACAGCTGCTCACAACCCTACAGGGCCAAGAGTGTGAAGGCGCCCTCTCCGCTGAGCGCCCAGCGCCGTGGGCACCAGTCTGCGTCCTGGTCCGCCAGGAGACTAACCTGCACAAGCCCAGGCCTTTGGGGCCAGGACCCTGGGCCGGTACCCACGGTGAAAGCTGCTCCTCAGAGCATTCTAACAAACGCTGCATTTCTGTTAAATCAGCCCGTCTCCCTGCTGCTAATTAAGAAACAGTAAAGTGCCAAAACCGGTTTGGCTCAGTGGATAGAGCGTCGGCCTGCAGACTGAAGGTCCCAGGTTCAATTCCGGTCAAGGGCATGTACCTTGGTTGCGGGCACATCCCCTGTGGGGGATGTGCAGGAGGCAGCTGATCGATGTTTCCAGCTTTCTATCCCTCTCTCTTTCTCTCTGTAAAAACTCAATAAAATATATGTAAAAGAAAGAAAGAAAGAAAGAAAGAAAGAAAGAAGGAAAGGGTGAGGTGCAGAAACCGATTTGGCTCAGTGAATAGAGCGTCGGCTTGAGGACTGAAAGGTCCCAGGTTCGATCCGGGTCAAGGGCATGTACCTTGGTTACGGGCACATCCCAGTAGGGGGTGTGCAGGAGGCAGCTGATCGACATTTCTCTCTCATCAATGTTTCTAACTCTCTATCCCTCTCCCTTCCTCTCTATTTAAAAAAAAAAAAAAAATCAATAAAATATATATTTTTAAAAATAAAATAAAACATATTTAAATAGAAAAAGAAAAGCCAGCCTAGCGACATGGGCTGAGTGAGAGCATCCAGCTCGCTCTGGAGAGCGTCCCAGGTTCAAACACATGGTCCACCTGGTCCCAGATGCATCAGACCCGGCCTGGGTTCCTCAGGAAACTGGGAGGAAGCAGTGCAGAGACATGTACACGCCCCCCCCCCCCCCCCCCACGGGCCCAAGGCCTGCAGGTGCTTTCCTTCTGGGACGTTTTCACGGAGGCAAGGGGTCCTGGGTCACTCACCTGCTGCCCAGCCATCTTCTCTGTCCTGCCGTGGCCCTCACCACCGCTGGCCCCATCCTGTTCCTCAGTGGAGTCCTCGCTGCTGTCACTGCCAGAATCTTCCAGGCCTGAGTATACACTCTCCTCACTGTCGGAGAGGCCAGAATCGCTGCCGTCCCCGAGGCCAGGAGCACGGGCGCAGAGGAGAGAAGGCTGCAAGGAGCACAGTGTGAATGATGGCTGACCCCACAGCGAGCCCCCTTGGCCACACAGGGACCCACAGCTCGTGTGGCCAGCCTCCACGGCCAGGCCAGGCCTTCCTCACAGCCCACCTCTGCCAGCATCTCACAAGGGAAGGACTTTGGGAAACCATGTCCCCTTCTTAGAACCCACCTCCCCTCCGCTCTCCCCCTCCTCACCCACCCGGCACCCAAGGCCCCAGAGCTTTGAGGGCAGGAGGGCAAGGCTTTCCCCCCCCCCCCCCAAGAGCCTTCGTACCCAACCAGGTGGGACAGCAGTGGGTGCTTGACTTAAAAACAAGATTACCATGCAGCCCCTGGTGGAGAAGACACCATCTCCTCCCTATGGCTACAGCCCGCGCACGGCGAGCAGGCCTGTCACTGCCTTTATTTGTTTGTTTGTTTTCATTTATTATTTATTTCAGAGAGGAAGGAGAGGGAGAGATAGAAACATCAATGAGGAGAATCGCTGATCGGCTGCCTCCTGCACGCCCCCTAGTGGGGACCAAGCGCGACACCCAGGCATGTGTCAACTGGAATCGAACCTGGGACCCTTCAGTCCGCAGGCTGATGCTGTCCACTGAGCCACACCAGCCAGGGCCCGTCACTGCCTTTAAAAGTGGAACAAGAGCCCTGGCTGGTGTGGCTCCGTTGGTTGGGCGTCATCCAAGCCAATCAATGTTTCTTCCTCCCTCTCTCCCTCCCTCTGAAAAATGTTTTAAAGTTTTAAAAAGAAAAATAAATTCCTCTTTGGAAAGTGGACTTGCAGACATTTAGGAAGCACCTGAGCGGAGAGCCCTGTTTCCCTGTTCCTCAGTATTTACAAGCCTCTCGCCTCACCGCACGGCCTGCACGCACGGTACTCCATGGCCCTCCGCTCAGCTTTCCCAGAAGCAAGCTGCTCGTTCCCGACCCTTAGCTGCGCCATCCGGGCAGCAAGTGCAAACGGCACCGGCGGTTTGGGACACGCCGAGCCCAGTGGTCCAGCAGCCAAGCCCGGCGCCCAGGGCGGCCCTGGTGGGGGGCAGGAGGACGAGCCCCGCCCCTGGAGTCAGACCCGGGTCGGATGACAGCCCCACAGCCCCGCGGGGGATCGGCGGGGCAGCACCGGCGGCCATGCGACCAGGGAGAGCGAGGGGTCCGAGGCCGCGGGCCGCGGGTTCTAGTCAGTTATCCGCACAGCCTCCTCCCTCTTTGCAACGACCTAGCCCGGGAGAGGTGTGTGAACACGGCGGTGCTGAGGGCGGCGGGAGCGGAAACCTCTCTCCCGGCGGGAGGCAGAGCTCCGCGGGGCCGAGAGGCTGCTGCCCGAGGGGGCCGGCTCCCGGGGCCATCTCTCTGCTGCTCATCCCTCCACCCACAGACCGTCCCCTCCTCCCCCTCTTCGGCCGCCCTTGGCGCCCCCAGGGCCGCTGCCCCGGAGGGCAGACTCCTGCTCACACTCCCGCCCGCGAGCTCGACCCACGCCCCCCGCCACCACGTGGGACCCACGCCGCCCGCTCACAGCCCGTGGCGCCCGCTGTCACCTCCTCGGGCTCTGATTCCGGCTCGGGCTCCTGAGGCCGCTTCCCGGGCCGAGCTCCCTCCGCCGCCGCGCCCGCGCGCCCCGTGCCCCGCGCGCCCACCATGATCCTAGCAGGTCCCGCCACTTCCGGCAGCGACCCGGTCGCGTGGGGCTGAGGGCGGGGTCAGATGCCGCGGAAGGCTCGCTCCGCGCGCTCTGATTGGCCAGGCGCAGCGACGCCAGGGTGCGCATGCGCGGAGCGTTCGGGGCGGGGCCTAGGGCCGTGCGTACGCAGAAAGGCGGCGCCGGCGCGGGGGCGCCAGTCGCAAGATGGCGGCGGCCATGCTAGGCCTGTGGGCCGTGTCTGCGCAGCGGGCGGTGACGGCAGCGCGGCCCGGCCTACAGACGCGGCAGCGGCGCTAGCCCGGCCTCGGCCACTCTTTGCGGTCGCTACTTCCGCCTCTCCCCGCCATGGATTTTCCCGTTGGCCCCGGCGCTGCGGGGCCCAGCAACGTCCCGGCCTTCCTGACCAAGCTGTGGACCCTCGTGAGCGACCCGGACACCGACGCGCTCATCTGCTGGAGCCAGGTGAGCGGGCGCGCCCCCGGGGGGCCGGGCAGGCCCCCGCCGCGGCCGCTGGGTGTGGGGACGGAGGGCCCAACGGGGAGACAGCGTCCGCGGCCTCCCCGCCGGCTTGGTCCGCGCCGCGTTCCCCAGGGCGGGGACGGGGAGGGGAGGGGAGGAGGGCGGGCCTCTCCCTCCCGGCTGCTCGCTGTCCGACAGCTGCGGGGGCGCGTCCGCGGGCGCCGGGTTCCGCCGGTGAGAGCTGCGTCCAGCCGGCCTCCCGCTTCCCAAACGCGCTGCCGGTTGTGTGGTCGGCGGCTGGACTCGGCTCACGGGCCCGAGGGCGTGGCTCCAGTGCGGAAAGCGAAAACGGACCTCCACCCCGCGTCCCGGCGGCACCGCTTCGTTTTCACTCCTCGAGGGGGCGTCTCAGCCCCCGTCCCCGCGCCCAGTTGCCTGGCAGCGGTCTTGTTTACACGCGTGGTCTGGGCCTGCTGGCCCCGCCCGCTGCGGCCGCGGGGCGAACCGGAGGCTGTGTCTGCGGTCGGACCGGGAGCCTGCTGCTCGTTCGCCTTCCTGGCTGTGACGCCGCCCCCCGAGAGGGCCGGGGCCGGCGACTGTGCGGCCTCTAAACGGGCCTGTCTGCCCGGGCGCAGGGAGGCGCGGGGGGCCTCCGAGCGCCCTGCCCGCCGAGGGCCAGCGCGTGTGCCCGCGGGTGAGGCCGGGGTTCTGGGCTGCATTAAGCACTTCCCGCTTCTGCTCCTGAGCTGCAAGGAGAGGAGGGGAAGGCTGGGCTGGAAGTATCCCCCGAGAACCAGGCTCTCTGGCCGTGGGTTGTCTGGTGGCTGAAGCTCGCTCTGCGGGAGGAGTGTTTGGAATAAAGGGGCTAGAAGCCCCGTTGGAGACATTTTCTGTTGGTCCCCGGGATGTGGTCCTGCGGGTGGGTGCTCCCCATTCCCCAGAGCCTGTTCCTTCATGGGCAGCACAAGTCCCAGAGAGGGTCAGGGTGCGTCCCCACAGCGGCCGTTACCACCCTTCCCTTGTTCTAGACCTTGAACTTGACCAACCAAAGGAAATGGCCTCCTGTTTCTGTCTTCCTTTCTTCTGCCCTCTTCCTCCTGCTCCTGCCCTGAACCCTCAGAGAACACCCTCACCCTCACGTTGTGGGAGGGGCATCAGATCTTAACTCTACTAGGATGATCTGTCCTGCCCCTTAATCTGCTTGCTGTTTGTGCTTAAAGATCGTGAGGCAGCCTGGCCAGCGTGGCTCAATGGTTGAGTGTCCACCAATGAACCGGGAGGTTAAGGTTCGATTTCCCTGTCAGGGCCCGTACCAGGGTTTACAAGCTGGGTCCCCAGTGTGGGGTGTGGAGGAGGCAGCCGATCCGTGATTCTCTCTCAGTATTGATGTTTCTCAATACTTAATAAAGGGAGAGGGAGAGAGAAACTAATAAATCAGTAAAAATGTATTTTAAGAAAGAAAAGGATGAAAAGATTGTGAGGTGTGTAGGGGGAGCCCTGCAAGCATACTCCCAGGACCCACAGTCTGTGTTCTGGGCAAAGTCTTTGAGTAGGAAAGTCCGATATTATCAGACCTGTGGCAGCCACCACCCTCAGTGGCCACAGCATCCTGAGCCCGGTTTGCAAGTTCTCGGGACACACACACACACACACACACACACACACGACAGCTGGAGCCTGAGTGCCTGACCTGGTCTGTGTGGCCTAGGATCGTGGCCAGTGAGGCCGGAAGCACTCAGACAGTTTAGGGTGCACTTCTCACTGCTCACAGTTTGGCCCTGGTGTCTCGGCCTCACCCTAGCCCCAGCCTGGTCGGTGCTGTTCTCTTCTCGCTGGGAGCAGGAATGACCCCCACAGTTGGATGGGGCTGGGAGAAGTCCCAAGGCCGAGTCCACCCAGGTGGCCCGTGTCAGGGTCACTGGAGGGGCTGCTCTCTGGTTGGAGTCGAGCAGAGCAGTCCCTGGTTCGGGCCCAGCGTTCTCAGCCTGCGTGCCTGCTTAGGGATGGGAGCACCGTGAGGAAGGGGACCCCCAGCCTCGTGGTTGCAATCCCCAGGCATTTTGCCTCGTCACCTTGGAGCTGGGTGGGAGCGGGGTCGGTGAGCTGCTGTGGCCTGTCCCTCCAGCGGTCGCCATCGCCTTGGCTGTGCCCCTCCTAGTGCGGCACCAGTCAGTGCGTCCTGCAGGCTGTACGTGGCAATGGTTCGGTGGTCTGCCACACTGCCATCCCGGAGTGGAGCTCCCTCCTTTTACCTCGGCTCGTCTTACTGACCACAGACACGCCCGCCCCGGACAGCACGGCCGAGGGCCTGCAGGAAGCCACGGAGCGCCAGGCTGGGCTGCTCCGTCTTGCTGGGAAGTCAGACTAAAGGGAGCCTTGGAGACGGGTTCAGAGGGTTAGCCTGGGACCAGCCGCCACTGCTCATTGCTCCCCCGGGTGCAAGTCTCATGGGGTCCCTTAGAGGTTAGGGATGCATGCCTGTGGGGGAAGGAGAAGAGAAGGGAAGGGCACAGAGTGCTCCCTGGAGTGAGGATGCCCAGGGCCGTCTGCCCTCTGCGGTGTGGTGGAAACCAGCCTGGCCGTAAGGATGGCTGTGCGTGAGGTCTCCTCTCCTGCTGCTTCTCCGATCTCTTCATCTCTTGCTTTCTGCTGTTTGACGTGAGTGTCCAGGTGTGGGTTTCTTTGCATTTACCCTTCCTGGGGTTTATTTTTTAATATATTTTTATTGGTTTCAGAGAGGAAGGGAGAGGGAGAGATAGAAACATTGATTCGCTGCCTCCTGCATGCCCCCCACTCTGGATCGAGCCAGCAACCCGGGCCTGCACCCCAGGGCAGAATCGAGCCTGGGACCCTTCAGTCTGTAGGCCGATGCTCCATACACTGAGCCAAACGAGCTAGAGCTATCCAGTGTCTTAGGCAACCACATGATGTGGAGCTTAGACATCCTGTGCAGGCCAGTTTTTGCTCAGTGGTTGGAGTCTTAGGTTTCCTCCCAACACTAAAGGGTCGCAGGTTTGATTCCACCTCGTCTGGGTGAGCACAGGAGGCAGCCAATCTATATGTCTCATCCTCTCTCTGCCCCCCTCTTCTTCCCTCTCTCCCTTCTATTTTCTCTGAAGATCAATGGGAAAAAATCCTCAGGTGAGGATTAACAAAAAAAAAGAAAATTAGACATCCCTAGAGAAAAGGCTTTTTATACTGGGAGAGCTGTCGGTTAAGTCAAACAAAGACAGCAAAACTTCTTTAAATAACTTAGTCTCTGGAAATTGTCCTAAAGGCTTTAGCAAAGGAAGCTCTAACTGACTGGCAACTTGGAGTGCTGTGCCATGTACTGAAAGGTTGCCAGTTCAATTCCCACTCAGGGCACACCGAGGCCGCAGGTTCTATCTCCAGTTGGGGTGTGTACAGGAGGCAACCAATATCAGTGTTCCTCTCTCACATCGATATTTCCCCCTTCCGTCTCTCCTCCCTCTGCCTCTCCTCCTTCCTCTCTCTGAAATTAAAAAAAAGCTCTCCAGTCCTAGACCCACGCTGCAGGGATCATCGGGCTTTCCCACCTCTTCATCCCTCTTCCCCACGGGAGCCTGCTCCCTGTGCCGCTACATTCACGTGTACGTTCACAGGGCCTGCCCCACTCCTCGTGGAAAGACCTGGAGGCAGCAGTAGTGTAGGGTTTGTACAGCCTGCCCTCCTCTCAGAGCCAGAGGACGGTGCAGCTGCGTTTCTGAGCACAGCGCTCCTGCAGAGTAACTGGATTAGGGCCGTAAGGTGGGGTCTCCTCTCCTCTCCTCTCGGTGCGTTTGCTTGTGGAAGCGAAAGTGGGTCCCTAAAGGCTGGGCCTGCGGTGCCTGGTGCTTTCTGTGTGGGGCCTCGGCCCTGGGGAAGCAGGACCCTGGGTGGGGCACCGACTGCCACGAGGCCCCGCCCCCAGGAGGGAGCCAGGCTGCTGCTGCTCACGGAGGCCCTGTGCCCTCACCGAGCCTGACTCGCTGCATGTCCCTGGCAGAGTGGGAACAGCTTCCACGTGTACGACCAGGGCCAGTTTGCCAAGGAGGTGCTGCCCAAGTACTTCAAGCACAACAACATGGCCAGCTTCGTGCGGCAGCTCAACATGTGTGAGTGCCCGCCCGCCCGCGGGTTTGTGGGGCGCAGAGAGCAGCAGTGGCCCTGCCTGTGGTGAGGGGGGAGCCAGCACACCTGGGGGCTCGGGGAGGTGGCCTTCTCCCTGGGGGAAGCGGTCCTCGTGAGCCTGAACCCGAGGTCCGGGGGGGTGGGGGGGACGGGGCACTCGGGCCAGACAGCCCGGCCCCGGCAGGCAGGCTCTGCGGTGGCAGTGCCGGTCTGAGGCAGAGCTGCCCTGCCCGCCGTGTGCAGATGGCTTCCGGAAGGTGGTGCACATCGAGCAGGGCGGCCTGGTCAAGCCGGAGCGGGACGACACCGAGTTCCAGCACCCCTGCTTCCTGCGCGGCCAGGAGCAGCTCCTCGAGAACATCAAGAGGAAGGTGACCAGCGTGAGTAGCCGCCTCCCTGTCCCCAGCCCTCTGCCCTCTCGGTGGGGTGGCCACGTCCACGCATCGCCCTGCCTGGCTGCTCCCAGCCCTCTTCCAGTGGCCCCTCCACCTGTCCACGCCGACCCCTGCCCGTCGGCTGCTGCGGGGAAGGCCAGTCTCAAGGCCACAGCCCCTGGCCCTTTCCCGGTTCTGCGGGGCCCATCACAGTAACCTCCTGTGGGGACCAGGTGAACACCCTGAAGAGTGAGGACATGAAGATTCACCAGGACAGCGTCACCAAGCTGCTGACTGACGTGCAGCTGATGAAGGGGAAGCAGGAGTGCATGGACTCCAAGCTCCTGGCCATGAAGCAGTAGGTCCCTCGGGGCGCGGGCAGCAGGTGGGGCGAGGAGGGTGCAGTGGTGGGTGCTCTCGGGCCTTTTGCTCCCCAAACAGTAGGTTTGGGCTTGCACACCTCGAGGCACCTGCCTGGCCATCCTCCTTCCCAGGGAGGTGGGGTCTGACCGCTCCTGCAGCAGCATGTGAAGCTGGGCTCAGCACTGGCCTGTTCTCTGCCTGCTCACACCAGCCCCCAGCCCTCCCTGCAGACCAGAGTGGCCAGGCCCCTCTTGCTGGCTCCCACTGTCCCTGGCATCACTCAGCACAGACTGCCTCTCCCCACCTTAGGCCTGGGGAGCAAGGAGCAGGTGCTTTCTGGAACCCCTGTCCTGGCTCACGTCTGGTGACCACGTAACAGCACTGTGCTACCCCCTCAACCAAGACGCTCAGAAAGGCCACTTCGGCTTCCTCCCATGCCCACAAGGGCCCTGGGGACCTCAGGAACCCCAGCCGGGTGGCTGTCCTTGGCTCAGGGCACCTCAGAGCTGCTCAGGGGCAGGCACTGGTGCCCTTGTGACCTGTGTCATGGAAGTGGCTCCTGGGCTCTGGCTTCACATTGGGGGCCAGAGGGGCGTGGCCTTCAGTCAGGGCACCTCTATAGATGAGGCCAGGAGCGCCCGCTCTGTCAAGAAGACATGCAGGGGCTGGTGGGGAGGGGTGTTGGGAGGGCTGGCCCAGCGGAGAGCAGATCCACTCATAGCCCTGCTCACCTGGGGGAGGATGGGCTCAGCTGGCTCTTCCCACTCCCTGGGCCACCTCTGAGCTACACTCGCCCTGATCCCTGGAAAGGTAAGTCAGCCCATATGCTGCTCTGCAGCCTGGAGAGCTGGGCTGCCACTGTCGCCTGGCCTGCCTTCCTGTCCTCAGGCTGGGCAAAGGTCGAGGGTGGAGGGGGCCCTCAGGAAGCCCCCACGAGGTCTCAGCAGGATTCTGAGGTGCAGCCAACACTCTGCCTGCATCTGACCTTACCCTCCAGCTGACCCCCCACCCGACTCTGAGCATCCCTCCCTTGAGGTACAAGTGAGCAAGGAGGGGCGTAGTGGCAGCAAGGTCTGGCCGCCCCTGGTCTGGTCACACAGCCCAGCCTCGTCCGGAGTGGAGAGGCTAGCGATAGGTTGTCACCAACGGCCCTGCACCTGCACCTGCACCTGCCAGGTGGGTGGGGGCCCCGGGATCGGCCCGCTGACCGCGCCCTGGTCTGTTGCAGTGAGAACGAGGCCCTGTGGCGGGAGGTGGCCAGCCTGCGGCAGAAGCACGCCCAGCAGCAGAAAGTCGTCAACAAGGTACACGGCAGGCCTGCCGGGCGCCCGCTGTCCCCCCTCGGCTGGGCTAACTGCTGCCTCCCCCACCCCCCACAGCTTATCCAGTTCCTCATCTCGCTGGTGCAGTCGAACCGGATCCTGGGGGTGAAGAGAAAGATGTGAGGCGCTGTGGGTGCCCGGCTCTCAGCACTGGGTCCTGGGTGCCACCGGGGCCAGGAGGCAGCTAACCCACCCTTCCCCGCAGCCCCCTGATGCTGAACGACAGTGGCTCAGCACATTCCTTGCCCAAGTACAGCCGGCAGTACTCCCTGGAGCCCATCCACGGCTCCGGCCCCTACTCGGTGAGTTGTGGGCGCGGCGGGCGGTGGGGGCCGAGCTGCCTGGGCACAGCCACATTGTCCCCTCTTTGATGGCAGGCTCCGTCCCCGGCCTACAGCAGCTCCAGCCTCTACTCCCCAGAGGCCGTGTCCAGCTCCGGACCCATCATCTCCGACATCACCGAGCTGGCTCCCAGCAGCCCCTTGGCCTCCCCGAGCAGGAGCACAGATGAGCGGTGGGGACCGCGCCACCTCCCTAGTGGTCCGAAGAGGGCTGGGGCCCCGGAGGTGCCTGCTGACGCCTGTGCCCCCACCTGCAGGCCCCTGCCGAGCAGCCCCCTGGTGCACGTCAAGGAGGAGCCTCCCAGTCCTCCTCGGAGCCCCCCAGCGGCGGCGGCGAGCCCCGGGCGCCTGTCCTCCGTCGTGGACACCCCGCTGTCCCCAACTGCCCTCATTGACTCCATCCTGCGGGAGAGCGAGCCTGCCCCAGCTGCCTCAGCCACACCCCTCCCAGATGCGGGGGGCCGGCCCCCCTCGACCCCACCCGCCTCCGCGTCCCCCGAGAAGTGCCTCAGCGTCGCGTGCCTGGACAAGTGAGTGCTGCCCTCCCCTCCCCTCCTCCCTGGACGGGCTGCCGGGCTTCTGGCTAGGACTGCCCTGGAGGGCTGGGCCCGGGCTGCCGGCTTGGTCGAGCTCAGAATTTGGGATCGGGGAGGGAGACGGAGCCGAGGATGGTGGCCTGCTGCGCCTGCTCTCTGGGCCACCCTGGCTGCAGCTGTCAGTCACCTGGTCCTGCTGCCCAGCAGAGGCCCCGCCACCAGAGCCAGGCGCGCGGGCGGGCATGCACCCTCTGGGCCCGGCTGCAACGGGCTCTTGTCTTTATATCTTGCAGTTTGGCTCGCACTCCACAGATGTCTGGGGTCGCCCGCCTCTTCCCCTACCCCTCCTCTCTGCATGGCCGATTCCAGCCAGGGTTAGCGCTGTCCCCACTGGGGAGGGAGGGCTCTTCCAGAGCTCAGGCCCCTCCCAGCTGAGGACCACTCGGCCGAGCCTGGTGAACAGCATCCCAGGCCTCCTGCAGGGAGCGCGGCCCCCAGGCTCGGGGGCCCAAGCCTGTGCCCCAAATCACCGGCTGACAGCGAGGGCCTTCCAGGCGAGCTCGGCTACTAGTCTGGCCGCGGTCCCTGCCCTGTGCAGACTGGCTTCCTCTCAGGGCGGCTGGCCACTCCCCAGTCCTCGGTGCACCCCATGGCCCAGATGCTCTGGGTCACAGCCACCAAACCTGGGTCTTTCCCACTTCACCCTGAGCACAGCCTTCCCCTCCCTCCTGACTTCCATGCAAAGGCAGGACTTCAAGCCTGAGCCCTCCTGGCCAGGCCCATGCTGTCAGGCCTGCAGGGGCGGGCCAGCCCGTGTGGCCCCAGCCACTCTCCCCCCTTTACCAGGCACCCAGGCTGTCCTCACACACTGCTGCTCTGGCCCCAGGCAGGGTGGGTGTGGCTGAGGGGGAAGGCTCTGGGGCATTGCCTCAGCTGCCCCCTCACCCGGCCAGGGCTGAGCTCAGTGAGCACCTGGATGCCATGGACTCCAACCTGGACAATCTGCAGACCATGCTGACCAGCCACGGCTTCAGTGTGGACACCAGTGCCCTGATGGACGTGAGTCCCACCCCACCCACCCCCCGCCACCTCCCCTGCTCGCAGGTCCAGCCTGACTCTCCTCCTCTTTGCAGCTGTTCAGCCCCTCGGTGACAGTGCCAGACATGAGCCTGCCGGACCTGGACAGCAGCCTGGCCAGTGTGTGTAGGGTGGGGTGGGGTGGGGGAGGTGACGAGGGTGGGGGAGCAGGAACCCTCAATGCCCTCCTGCCCCAGCAGATCCAGGAGCTCCTTTCTCCCCAGGAGCCCCCCAGGCCTCTCGAGGCAGAGGATAGCAGCCCTGACTCAGGTGAGCAAGCCCACCTGCCTGCCTCCTGTCCCCTCCCGTCCCCTCCCACCAGCATCCTCACCACACCGCCCCGCTCCCACCCCCCCAGGAAAGCAGCTGGTGCACTACACAGCACAGCCCCTGCTCCTGAGGGACGCCAGCCCCATGGACATGGGGAGCAGCGACCTGCCTGTGCTCTTCGAGCTTGGGGATGGCGCCTACTTCTCAGAGGGGGACGACTATGCAGACGACCCCACCATCTCCCTGCTGACGGGCTCCGAGCCCCCCAAAGCCAAGGACCCCGCTGTCTCCTAACGGTTCAGGAGGCCCAGCCCCACGCCATGGCCTGCTTGGGGCTTCACAGCCACATCGCACTGACCAATACTGTGGCTTTCACAAAGTGTATTTTGGTTTTTACATGAGTCCCCTCCCCCTTCATAGAAATAAACATACAGTATATATGTAGACGGCGGTGGACAAGAGGAGGCCCCAGCAGGAGGGCCTGCGAGCACTCAGGATCGTTAAAGGAGCAGGGAGAGGCCCGTGGGGCTGCAGGGCTGGGGGAGGGCTTGTCTGCCCAGCCAAGCCCTGTGTGCGGGGCCTGCTCTGGGAGAAGGGCATTCTGGCCTTGTGTCCGGCTCCTGTGCTGTCAGCCACGGAAAGGCAAGGCACAGCCAGCCTGACAGCTCGCGCCCCCAGGAGTTTCTCCAATGCCCCCACCCTCCATGGGCAGGCCCCTTCTGGCAGTGCCTCCGTGGCCCAAGGAAGAGGAGGACACGGTGGAGCTCTTGGGCATCTCACTTCTGAGGGGCCCCAGCTGCCAACCTCACCCGGCCTGGCCCAGCCCCAGGCGCTCCGTCCCAAGCGGATCCTTAAGACGAGGTGGGAATGGGCCCGGCCACCTCGCACCTGGCCGGCAGCAGGGTCCTGAGGCTGCACCATGGGGACCACCCAGCCTGGGCCAGAGCAGGGTGGGAAGTCCACTCACTCAGGTCCTGCAGACGATTGTTCCAGAGACGGGTGCCCCCACCACCAAGGTGGAGGCCCAGGCAAGGATTGGCACACTACTTGACCCTTCTCCAGGCCCGGCCCCAAGCCAAGGTCCACTTGTAGGAAGACTAGGCACCCACTTCTGAGCCACACCACACGGGGTCAAGGGGGTCTGGGCAGGGAGTCGCTGCAGAAGACCTCAGGCAGTGAGAGCTGCCACCCAGGATGTCGGGTGGGATCCCAGGGGACCCAGCTCCCCATCCCAAGATCACAGCCTAAGGCCCTCTGAGCCCAAGAAGTCCCCACAACCAGCGCTGTCAGACCAGGTGGTGAGGCCGTACCCAGCGCCCTCAGCAGGCCGAGCTCACGCTGGACAGTACTTTATTGACACCCTCAGACCCTGGGGAGGGTCAGCACAGGCCCTTGAGGCACTGGCCTGTGCTGCTGCTCCCGTTCCCGAGGGCAGGAGCCCCATAGGGGCAGAGAGGCCTCCCAGGGCCAGGGGGAGGCCATGGGCAGTGAGGCAGGCGAGGTGGCAGTGAGGAGTGTGGGCAGCAGCTCAGGCCTCTGCCGCCAGGGCCTCGTGGTGAAGCACGTAGTAGTCATGGACGTACATGAGCACCGCCACGGGCTGCCCGATGATGAGCGACAGCCACACGGCTGCGTTGCCGTAGTTGCCACGGAAGAACCGGCTCACTATCCAGGCCAGCGGGAGCTGGGGATGAGGGCATGCGTCAGCCGCCGTGGTGACCACGGGCTGGCTGCCCCGGGCACCGAGGGCAGGCGAGGAGGCCCCAGCACTCACCTGAGCCATCATGCCGGTGAAAGCCCAGAGACGGAACATGCGCAGAGGGATGCTCACCAGATACTGGGGGGAGGGGGGAGGCTGTCAGCTGGCTCCTCGGGGCCACGGCACCCCAGCTCCGGGCCCCAGGCAGGGTGCCCACAAAGCACTGACCTCGTGGAAGAAGGCTGAGGCCAGGAACACCCCAGTCCTGGCAACCCACTTGCTGTAGCCACGCCGGACCATCGGCTTGTAGAAGTGTCTGTGGAGAAGGAGGCCGTGGGCAGGCGCCCAGGGCCACTCACGGACCTGCCACCACCCACCACACACTCACCTGAGACACCACTTGTGCACAGGGATGTTCCAGTTCTGCCAGAAGTAGGTGACGGACTCAGAGTTCCTGGGGGAAGAGACGGTGATCAGAGGGCGCCATGACCAGCCCAGCCCGCCCCCACTGAGGTCACCCACCACCAGTCCCGGTAGAACTCGCGGTCCCCAAACTGCATGAGCTCGGCCACGGCGTTCAGGCAGGAGTGGAAGAGCCAGTAGAAGAAGATGAGCCAGATGAGGTGGTTGGGGACCTGGGGGAGAGGTGGTGTCAGGGTCCAGCACCCCCACCCCTCAGGCCCGCCCAGGCCCAGCCTCAGCCTGCTCACCGCCAGCTTCAGGAGGCGCTCGATGATGCGGGAGTAGTCCATGTCCTGCGGGAACAAGGCTCAGCGGGCTCCCAGGCCACACCCCTCCCGCCACGGGGAGCCTGGCACTCACCTTGAAGGGCTTCATGGAGTTCTGGATGGTGGGGACCATCCACTGCAAAGGAGAGCACACATCAGCTCCCCCAGAGCACCAGGCGGCCCCCTGCCCCCCACCCGTCCTCGCCATACCTGCTGGATCAGCCCCACCTGGAGCTGGGTGAAGAACAGCTGGGGAGGAAGCAGAGCAGCAAACTGAGCCCAGCCCTGGAGCCTCACAGCCCCCACAGCCCCCCAGCCCCCGCAGCCGCAGCCCCAGCCCCCGCAGCCCCTGCAGCCCCCCAGCCCCCGCAGCCCCTGCAGCCCCCCCAGCCCCCGCAGCCCCCCAGCCCCCAGCCCCCATAGCCCCCCAGCCCCCGCAGCCCCTGCAGCCCCCCAGCCCCCGCAGCCCCCCAGCCCCCGCAGCCCCCGCAGTCCCCCAGCTCCCGTAGCCCCCCAGCCCCCGCAGCCCCCAGCCCCCAGCCCCCGCAGCCCCAGCCCCCCAGCCCCAGCCCCGTAGCCCCAGCCCCCGCAGCCCCCCAGCCCCCGCAGCCCCCAGCCCCCCAGCCCCCCAGCTCCCGTAGCCCCCGCAGCCCCTGCAGCCCCCCAGCCCCCGCCCCCCAGCCCCAGCCCCCCAGCTCCCGTAGCCCCCGCAGCCCCTGCAGCCCCCCAGCCCCCGCAGCCCCCGCAGCCCCCCAGCCCCCGCAGCCCCAGCCCCCCAGCCCCAGCCCCCCAGCTCCCGTAGCCCCAGCCCCCGTAGCCCCCGCAGCCCCTGCAGCCCCCCAGCCCCCGTAGCCCCCGCAGCCCCCGCAGCCCCCGCAGCCGCAGTCCCCCAGCCCCCCAGCTCCCGTAGCCCCCCAGCCCCCGCAGCCCCCCAGCCCCCGCAGCCCCCGCAGCCCCCCAGCCCCCGCAGCCCCAGCCCCCCAGCCCCAGCCCCCGTAGCCCCCCAGCCCCCGCAGCCCCCCAGCCCCCGCAGCCCCCCAGCCCCCCAGCTCCGGTAGCCCCCGCAGCCCCTGCAGCCCCCCAGCCCCCGCAGCCCCCGCAGCCCCCCAGCCCCCGCAGCCCCAGCCCCCCAGCCCCAGCCCCCCAGCTCCCGTAGCCCCAGCCCCCGCAGCCCCCCAGCCCCTGCAGCCCCCCAGCCCCCGCAGCCCCCCAGCCCCCGCAGCCCCCGCAGCCGCAGCCCCAGCCCCCGCAGCCCCTGCAGCCCCCCCAGCCCCCGCAGCCCCAGCCCCCGCAACCCCCGCAGCCCCAGCCCCTGCAGCCCCAGCCCTCGCAGCCCCCGCAGCCCCAGCCCCCCAGCCCCCGCAGCCCCTCAGCCCCCGCAGCCCCAGCCCCCCCAGCCCCCGCAGCCCCTCAGCCCCCACAGCCCCCGCAGCCCCGCAGCCCCTCAGCCCCCGCAGCCCCAGCCCCCCAGCCCCAGCCCCCGCAGCCCCGCAGCCCCAGCCCCCGCAACCCCCCAGCCCCCGCAGCCGCAGCCCCTGCAGCCCCAGCCCCCCAGCCCCAGCCCCCGCAGCCCCTGCAGCCCCCCAGCCCCCGCAGCCCCCCAGCCCCCGCAGCCCCCGCAGCCCCAGCCCCAGCCCCCGCAGCCCCCGCAGCCCCAGCCCCCCAGCCCCAGCCCCCGCAGCCCCAGCCCCCCAGCCCCAGCCCCCGTAGCCCCCCAGCCCCCGCAGCCCCAGCCCCCCAGCCCCAGCCCCCGTAGCCCCCCAGCCCCCGTAGCCCCCCAGCCCCCGCAGCCGCAGCCCCTCAGCCCCCCAGCCCCAGCCCCCCCGTAGCCCCCCAGCCCCCGCAGCCCCGCAGCCCCCGCAGCCCCCCAGCCCCAGCCCCCCCGTAGCCCCCGTAGCCCCCGCAGCCCCCCAGCCCCCCCGTAGCCCCCCAGCCCCCGCAGCCCCAGCCCCCGCAGCCCCAGCCCCCCCGTAGCCCCCGTAGCCCCCGCAGCCCCCCAGCCCCAGCCCCCCCGTAGCCCCCGCAGCCCCCCAGCCCCAGCCCCCCCGTAGCCCCCGTAGCCCCCGCAGCCCCCCAGCCCCCGCAGCCCCAGCCCCCCAGCCCCAGCCCCCGCAGCCCCCCAGCCCCCGCAGTCCCCCAGCCCCCGCAGCCCCAGCTCCCGTAGCCCCCCAGCCCCCGCAGTCCCCCAGCCCCCGCAGCCCCAGCTCCCGTAGCCCCCCAGCCCCCGCAGCCCCAGCCTCACCATCTCCAGGAGCCTCCGCAGCAGGAAGCGCTTTCGGATGCGGGGGGAGCGGGGAAAGTTGAGTTCGTAACACAGCGTGGGGGCAAAGAGGAAGTAGTACAGATCTGGAACGGGAGGGCAGAGCTGGCACAGGGCCCGCCTGTGGACCCACCCCTGCCCGCCCCAGGCCAGCTGCAGCCCCCACCTCCGTAGGTCAGGTTGTCGGGGTAGCTCACAGTGCCGGGGGGTTGGGCCGCCCCGCCGTTGGTCCCGCCGTTGGCCTTCTTCCCGGTAGAAGCTGGAGGCGGCGAGGGAGGGAGAGGATGCGAAGGTGAGGCCCTGCTGCTGCCCAGGCCCGCCCGCCCGGCAGCCAGCCTCCCAGCCTCACCAGCCTTGGCCTTGGCACTAGCCCTGTGCTCTCGGCACCACAGGTTGACATGCTGGTAGGAGAACAGCTTCAGGAAGAGGATGGTGTAGGTCATCAGGGCCAGCACGGAGCCCACTGCAGGAAAGGCAGGCTCAGGCCGAGGCCTCCCACCACCCACAGGAGAGCCGCGGCCAGGGCAGCCCCTGAGGCTGGCCTGCGTCTCCCCCGGGGTCCCCCCACAACTGGCTGGGATGGGGCAGGTGAGATGGGGGCACCTGGAGTGATGGACTCCAGCAGGAAGGCCACGGACGCTGGGAAGCAGAGGATGGTGACCAGGTTGAGCGTGTGCAGCAGCAGCCCCGCCTGCTCCGTCAGGGCACCCTGGGGAGGGGGCAGCACTGAGCCAGGGCCTACTCCCTGCCCAGGGTC